CTTAAATCGCGGTCTGCTAGTATATTAGTAACTAAAGTTTTTAAGAAAATTACACATGTGTTTAAATTTATTTATTTGTGAAATATTTAGTTCTATTAAAAAAAAGTCGGATTGAATTGTGGTTTAAATTCCCTTTCCCCAGGGAATACTATAGACTGGCGATTTACGGTATCTTAAAATAGATTCATTTTGTCATGCATCGTTAATTATCAGGGTTTACAATACGACTGGAAGATTTTGTGACATAGGAAAACGGTACACTATTGCAGAAAATATTAATAAAACAAACGAAAATATTTAAACTTCATGGAATTCAAATCTTTGATAAGTCTGACCGGAATTGAGTGATACTTATTCTGGGAGACTGTTGATACAATATTAATTCAATTTTATTGAATACAACAAAATCAAATAATCTAATCACGAAAAAAGCAATAATTTAAAACTCAAAACTTGATGCTCATTTTCAATTATGTTAGATTCTTTATCCAAATTTAATCTTTATTATCTTCATGTTGATAACCTAGTATTCCGGTGAATCGAGTTCGAACCGGACTTCGAGTCAGGTTCCAAATCAAACCAGACTCTTAGTTTGACAATGTAAATGTTAAAAAGTAATCCTAACGCTAAGCAAAGATATTTACAATTAAGGTAACTTTTTTATTTTTCATAGGTATATTATTATATATAAAAATCTTCCAAACAATATTGCAATTCATAATAATGTCTACAAATATGTATATAATATATAAATATAAAAACAAGTTTAAAATAAAAAAATATAGAAATGATGCTTAGTACAAACTTCATATGATACTACATAATAGATATTCATAAGTTATCCTTATATAACGATAGTAATCCAGTGATTATTCATTGCACCTCACTTGGAACCACAGTAAAAAAATGCAAATTGTGTACTTGGAGAGGGTATGCATTTTTAGAGAACAAAATATATCAAGTCTTAGAGAGAATTTTATAATATATGCACTTAGAGAGTAAATAATTAGAAGGATGTGACTATATAAGGATCAAAAAGATAAATTTTGCTAATTAATAAAAAGAATAAAAAGATAAATTTATCATTAATAATAATAAAAAATAGAAGATTACTAAAGCATCTCAAAAAGCAAAAAATAAATCTTATTAAATAAAAAGATAAAGATAAATTAAAAGTAAAAAATAAATTTTACTAAAAATAAAAAAATAAATTTAAGTAAAAAGTAAAAAAAATAAAAATTTCTAAATTATAAAAATGAAATTTAATATAATTATTTAAAATTTAAAACTCATAATTTCTTTATTATTCGATTAATAATATTTATTAAAAAGAATAATATATATAATATTAACTATTTTTTAATCTTATAAAAATCTTAATAACTATTATAAATAATAAATATATTTGAATATAAATTTAGTTATTTGCTTTCTGAAAATTATAATAATAAACTGCTTTATTTTATTGAATTATATTATATATATTTTGAATTTAAAAGTAAAAAAATAATTTAAATAAAGTTGAAATTAAGTCAAAAAAAGATTAAAGTTTATAATTATTATATTATATTTAAAAAATTTTAGATAAAAAAATTATCTTATTTGAAATTAATATTAATTATATTGAAATTCAAATATTTATAATAGTAAAAAGCTATAAATTATATTACTTAAATTAATTAATATTCTTTTTATTAATTATTTTATACTTATAAAGCTTTATATTAAATTTCTAATTATTAAAAACTTAATATAATATAAATATAAATTTTAAAAAATTAATATAATATAAATATATATTTTAAAAAATTAAATACATTTAATTATAAAATAATATTTAATTTTTTAGTTTCTTAATTTTTTTTAATTTTACAAATTATATAAATATTATATGATTATGCTAGATTTATAATTCATAGATTAATTTTTTCTTAATTCTTAATTTTATAAATCACTTTTACTATATTAATTTTTTTATCTTTATTCTATCTTCTAAATTTATATTTTTTAATATTCTTTTAATATTAATTTTAATAATTTTAATAATATTATATAATTTTTTAAAATATATAAATACAAATAATTTCTTATTATATAAAGTCAAGTCAAAATATATTAAGGATTTAATAATAAAGTAAACTTCAGTTTTAATAATTATATCTAAATAATAATTATATTTGAATTATATTTTTAATTTATTTTATTTTGTTATTATATTTTAATTTTTTTAATAATATAATATTTACAAAATTGATCTCTGAACTAGTGATGGAAGCTGCAACTAGCCGCAACTCTGTCACAATTCTCTGATTGGCTGCCGCAAGCTGCAACTAGTTGAGGAGCCATCTTTACTCTGAACAGTTCAAAAATGTCATTTAAATATCTATTTAATTAAATTATTAATAAATTTTTATTCAAGTTATCCATAATTATCCAAGTATTAATTCTGAGTATTTATTCTGTAATAATAATATTATAAATACTAAAATATGTTTTAATAACTTTTATATTATAGATTTTTTTTATTATTTTCTTTATATAAAATATATATTTATTTGATTTATTTCTTTTCTTTCTTTATTTTTCTTTCATATTATTATTTATTTATTTTTTTTCTTGGTATCTCATAGTTTTTCTGCTATACTAGTAAATATAAATATAAAATCTTAAGTACTTGTTCTTTTATAATTTAATAACTTGACTTTTTTTCATATAAATTTCTTTTTATTTACTCATATACATCTATTTGATAATTAAAGAATATGCTAATAATAATATATTATTGAAATCTAGACTCAAAAATAAAATAAACATCTTTAAAATATATTAGAGCTCTATAAAAACAGATTTAGAAAAAAATAAACTGATATTATTATTTTTTAAAAAAAGATCCCTTAAATTACTGTTAAATAATTTATATAACTTTTTTATAAGGCTTAATCACTTTGAAGGTAAGGATGATTTTTTCAATTTTATTTTGCTGTTGTATTTTTTGGCATAAATTACAGTAGGAAAGTTTTTCTTTATTCCATGAAATATTATCAAATTAACCTTTTTAGAGGATTGTAATGAAATACTGTTTGTTGTAATTGAATCAGCTTTGATTGAACTAATGTTAAGTGAGCTGGCGTCATTATCACCAAAATTGCCAAAGATGATTAAATGAATCCAAAACATTCAATGTCAAGTTTCTGTTTTATGAAACAAATTTTTATCAAATTCGCATTATAAATTTAAAAAATAAATTACACAAAACCGGTTTGATGTAATGTGTTTTTATCAAATCATACTAGCTAATTTATTAAACTCGGTCCATAATTAATATTGATTTATTCAAAAGGATTAAATTTCAAAGTTCGAAATTAAACCTGACAAAAACGGTTTTTTTAAACTATTTAACATCCCTATGGAAGGATGGGAAACATTCTGCTAGAAAAAAATGCATCCACGAAAGATATTATTAATTACTCTCAAGCAAATATGTTCAGGTTTACAAAGTAATCTATACTCTTATCACCAACCATGGAAAACCGGATGGATATATTGAAACAATTCTCTAACTTGCTCAGAAAACCTGTCTAAATATAAGCCACTTTCATTGATTATTCGAGGTCTTGTAGTAGATGATACAATACCAGAAGAAGAATGGCGTGATTAAATGGAAGAAAATGAAAATTCGAAACATCAAATTGGGACTTGTACATGTATATGAAACAGAACTGTTATTTGTTTTCATATTTTTTGTCAGTCTTTCTCCGACTTCAAGAAAAATGAGTGATCTACATACATGCTGTTATTGTGGTGGAAATAGAGTTGAATGTGGGCTTCGGATTAATAGGGACTTAACATAGTTATGCCAATTGGTTGATTATAGTTGACCGTTTGATCGATTCAATCCATTCCGTGTACCAATTAGAGGAATAAATTATAGATTCTTTGATAATTAGCTCTATTATACACACATACATACACACACACATACACACATACATACATACATACATACATACATAATTAGCTTATGAATTAATCTCACTTAAATTTTACCACGTTACTGGTAATTAGATCCTGTTTTAAAGCGTCAACGAAATAATATAAATGGTAAAATTGATACCGCTACTATCCAGGCAATAACAATAACGATAAATCTATCGCAATAAATGGAAATCTCCCCCAACTATGGAAATTTTCATTATATGCAAAGATCAAAAAAGTAAACTTTTATCATTTATATCGATACTATCGAACAAGGAACAATTACATGTATTTTATTTTATAACGATGACGAGGAAAACTTTTTTGGTGTTATCTCAGTAACACAAAATATGCTTAAAAGCTTAACGTTAAGTAAATTAAAACATCTTTATCTTGATTTTTGGTTTCCACGATGCAAAGTTCTGAACCTCAATATCAAAGATAAAGTTAGCTAAGTGTACAGAAACGACTCGACTTAGATATTGAGAACCTTCTTAAATAAATATATCGATATGTACAATTACATGTATATAATACATGTAATTGATGTTCAGTTTTTGGCATGATTTTCAAAGCGTTTAACTTCATTTCATCCATGAAGTCCGCCGCAAATTAATGACAGGTAAACTGTTCAGAAAAAGTAAGCCAATTAGATACTACGCCCCTCAGAATTGCAAACTAAAAAATAGAGTTGCATTTGCACAACCTCTTAAAAAAAAGATAGTGGACCATAAAAGCATGTAACAGCAAGACATGTCATAAGTGACACATTACACAAAAAGATCCCTTTCAACACAGCCTCGTTATTGAAGTATTTTGTGCCTTTTGTCTAAATTTAATCTTTTCTATTGTTTGTAATCATTTATCGTTAATATTCCTAAAAATTTTTAGATAATAAAAATTCGACTAAATAATATTGTTATGCGTGTTGAATTTATTTTTTAATATTTCGTTCGCTTCTTTGATATCATTTTTGTTGCTTTGAAAAAAATTATTAATATACTTGATAAGTGAATAAAAACAAAATGGAACGACACATGAGCATTTATTTGCATCAACAGGAGGAGGTAAAGAAAAAAAACTAAAAATATTCAATCTAAAATATTTCAACATTATTAATGCAAATTGAATAGGAGACAGAAAGCTCAACCACTGCCTCAGTGCTCTCTGTATCCCGAATGTCAGACATTTCAAATCCCACAAGCCAAACGACGCCATCAATAAATCTGAATTCTCGTCGAATGTCCGTGTCACCTAAACAGCAATCAGCAACTTTAACCGAAAGCATGCAACTTCTCGAAAGAGATCCCAATAATCCTTATGTACATACTGACATCGGGTATATTTATGCAACGATGGGACTCTCAGATATGGCATTGGCGCATATGACAAAAGCTTTGACGATAGATCCGGAGAACGTGTATGCTTTACGAAATCGCGGCGATGTATATCATAATTTGGACAAGTATGAGGAGGCGTTGAACGATTTTAATAAAGCCTTGCAAATTGATTCCGAAGATGCTAAAACATTGGCTAGTCGAGGTGCTATTTATAGTGTGTTGAACCATTATGAGGAAGCGTTGAACGATCTAACAAAAGCTATAGGGATTGATGATACCGATTATTTTGCATTCCATATCCGTGGTGAAGTTTATTATAAACTCGGACAGTACGATGAAGCGATTGGTAAATACCTTTTTTAAATGCATCGATATATGAAATTTCGAAGTTTCTAATTTCTCAATTAAATTTAATAATTAAAGACGATTTGACAAAAGCAGTTCATGGTGAACCAAAAAATACACAAATATACAATCATTTGGGTGATGTATATCGTGCTCAAAATCGTTACGATGCTGCTTTAAGGTGTTATAGCAAGTCGTTAGCAATCAACACTTCAGCAGAAAATATTCCAGCATTAATAGAACGAGGAAATATCTATCGTCGGTTAAAACATTACGAAGATGCTTTAAATGATTATAACGTAATATTAGAAATACAACCCGAATATTTACCTGCTCTTCACCATCGCAGCGAAATTCTCCGACTTTTGCACCGTAATAAAGAAGCACTTGTTGATTTGGATCAAGCATTGAAACTTGAACCAAATAGCGCATCAATTTTGTCGACTCGTGGAGAAGTTTATCGCATATTTGAACATTATGATAAAGCATTAAATGATTTGCAGCGTTCTATTGAAATAGATCCAAAGAATTTTTTTGCATATTTAACACGAGCCCGCATTTACGATTCTCTGCAGAAATATGATGAGGCATTACAGGATTTGGATGAAGCGATAAAGCTAAAGCCTGACGAAGTTTTCGCATTAAGAACCCGAGGGCAAATATATTATATGATAGATAAATATGGCGAAGCATTAACCGATTTCAATCGTGCTTTAACGATTGAACCTAATAATGCATTCGCGCTTCGTATGCGCGGTAGACTTTTTAATATACTTGAAAGATATGATGATGCGTTAAATGACCTTAATAAAGCCCTCGAACTGAAACCGAATAATGGATTCGCATTAAGGACGAGGGGAAAAACTTATTTTGCATTGAATCGATATGAGGAAGCGTTGACAGATTTGAATGCCGCATTGAAGATAACACCGAAAAATGCTGGTGTATTAAGAACTCGATCGAGAATATATTATTTGACTAATCGCTTGGAAGAAGCCTTAACAGATATAGATGCATCTTTATCAATTGAACCGGTCAAGATTAACGCAATTTTGAATCGAGCTGAAATAAATCAACTGCTTGGACGGTTTGACGATGCTTTGGCTGATTTAGGCAAGTAATTGGCATTGACTTTGTCTTTTGAGCTTTTTATTTATATATTTTTATTATTACTGTTAATAGCAAAAGCTTTAGCCTTAGAGCCAGAAAATAAACTCGCTTTACGCAACCGTGGAGAAGTTTTCAGACTTATGGGACAATATCATAACGCTTTGAGCGATTTGAATAAGGTTAGATAGAATTATAATAAATTCGATATCTTTTTAAAAATTTCTATTTATTTTGTGTCCTTTCCACTTGACTTTTTTCAATAGGTTATTGAATCTGAACCATACAACACATTTGCACTTTCAAACCGAGGAGAAACATATCGAATGCTCGGACGTTACCAAGATTCAATAGATGACTTGACAAAAGTATTAAATTTGGAACCAAATAACGGATTTGCACTCCGAATTCGTGGTGCTGCATATCGAATGCTTGGACAACATCAAGAAGCATTACAGGATCTTAATAAAGCTCACCAAATGGATCCAACCAATGCTTTTGTTCTTAGAATACGTGGGAATATTTATCGAGTTCTAGGAAAATACACCGAAGCATCATCTGACCTTACGAACTCTTTACACTATGAACCTAATGACGTTTTTGCCTTATGCACGCGTGGGAGAGTTTATCAATCGATGGATAAATTTAAAGACGCACTTTCAGATTATAATCAAACACTGAAACTTGATCCACACAATGCATTTGCATTACGGTGTCGCGGAAATATTCTTTATCTTTCCGGAGAATATGAAGCAGCGTTAGCAGATCTAGATAAATCATTACAACTTGTTCCGGATAATGTATGGTCACTTTGTTATCGTGGCGAGGTGAATCACGCGCTTGGATATTACGAGAAAGCTTTGAAAGACTTTAAAAAAAGTATATCGACAGATCAGTGGTTTCCTTTAGCGTCACGTGGTGCCTTATATCGATCAATGAAACGATACGAGGACGCATTATCTGATTTCAATAAAGTGTTAAGTTATCATCCTGAAGACGATTTCGATCAATCATACCAAATTAAAGCATTGAAGAATCGTGGAGGAGTCTATGCAATCCTTGAAAAATTCGATGATGCATTAGCGGATTTAGATAAAGTTATTGAAAAAACGGAAGATGTACAGGCATTGATTGATCGAGCATTTGTATATCGAAATAAAAGAGAAAATGAAAAGGCATTGAAAGATTTAGAGAGAGTTTTGAAAATAGAACCAAATAATTGGAAAGCTAATAAGCTTATAGAAGAGGTGCGTGTCGCCGCTCACAATGATTATTAAAGTGTTAAAATCGAATTTAAATTAGAAAAACTTAAAGTAGAAATCAAAAACAAAAACTCAATGTTGCTTTTATTTTGTATTTTAATTCGAGATGAATTATATCAAATTTTGTATTGCTGTAGTTATTTTATAGAATTTGACAATAGATTATATTTTGACTTCATATATGTACAGTATACCAAAACTTGGCCCCTTTTAATTTATAGCCGGGTAATTGACAGTTGTATAATATCGATATAGACCCAGGGTCTTTTTAATCAGATGTAATCGTAATGCAAATGACTTATTTTTATTTACATGCATAACGATAATCAAAACGAAACCATAAAATGCATTTTTATTTGTATAATTATACATATAATAATTTTTCTTTGTGGGCACTTGTTAAAGAAAATTGGAGGTAATTTATCCAGTGTATCCTCCTTTTTATAATACACCCTCCCCGGCAGCAAATTCAACCACATTATCATTATAATTATCGTTATGTTCGAAGAATTATAAAATACATGTAATAACGATAACTCTAATTAAGTGCTGGATATAACATAACGATAAAACAATTTAAAAATTTTTATTTAGTTACATAAACATATAAATACACGTACACGCGCGCTTGGCTTGACTATTTTTTAGCATTCAATCTTGCAGTTCTCTTTTTTTCCCACGCATCTTTTATTACGGACTTTACAATTTCTTCTGCTTCACTCCAATTTTGTTTCGCCAATCTTGTGACCAAATCCACATTTTCCGGAGAATAAGTAAAACAATTAAACTTTGTAATCTTTGACTTGGCTGGTACAAAATCTTTATCAACTTTCTCGTTAGGTAAAAATGGCATATAAACTAACGTTGTATCATGAGTGGCTGCTGGCCAGTATTCATCTCGTTCTTCTCCAGTCGGAGTAAAATCGTATACTTCGACATACTTGGTTTCAGGTATACCGGTACGCGGAGTTCTCTTTAGTTTACGACGTTGACATAATAAATCTTGTTGTTGGTCGAAGAACTTGTGATCTATTGTGGAAGTCGCGGCGTCAACAGCAATAATAAGATCAACCTTACGATTTGGATGTGTTAATGGATATAAAGGAAGATCGCTTGAAGCGCCAGCATCTACGAAATCAAGGTAAGGTCCATTTGTAGTGCCAAGTTCATATGGAGGTGGATGAAGATGATAAGCGAAGTTGAAGTTTCTGGCTTCTGGGATTGTGTGGACTGCTTCAAGTTCACTCATACGTTGTTCACCCGCTTTATCACAAGCCTGAAAACGAAAGAATTTAGAACTTTGAATGTATTAAATAGGCCAAATAATCGAAATTTTGCTTACTGTTGTATACACTCTCTTCCATGTATTTTTAAGCCATCCATCTGGCAAACCATATTCAAACTGTCTAATTGCGCATGAAAGAGGTGCAGAAGGAGCAGAACCGAAGAGGCTTTATTTACGTCAAGTAGAAAACATTAGTAAAGTTTGCATAAAATTAAATTAAATTAAATTAACTTATTACCCCACAAGTAACCCAAAGTTTTGTTCCGGTATTCTTTCCACACTTTTTCCGAATTCAAAACGCCGCCCAAATGCCCATGAAGGAATAAACGCTACATTTAACAATATTAAAATAACGTCAGAATTAAGTAAATTAATTAGGCAAATTCATAATAATTTACCGGGATATTCCTCGCAACCGACTTCAAATGGAGTGAATTCGAACCAAAGATAGTGATCTTTTTTCTTTTGATATTCTTTTAATACTTCCTCGTAATTGGGTATTAGAGCTGCATATTCAGGAGGGAGTGTATGCTTCCATGGACGACAGTGATGAAGTCTATATTTTTATTTAAGGCATATTTAACAGTAACTCTAATTGAGACAACAATTTCTTTTGAATTAGCCAATGTACATACGCGGTATAAATTGGCATTGGATTCTTTCCACCAGCCAAAAATCGTTTCTGTTGGCTTAATTTGAAATCGGGACGTTGGATAGTGGGGTCATCGCCAAGCAAGAGACGCGAAGCAAGCAACACACCAAACATATCAATAGGACCACATTCAATTCCAGTCTGTTTCTTTTGTGCGATCCCTCCGAACGTGAGATCAACTGCTGTCTCTGGTGATTTCGTTTTTTCGAATATTTTTAATAAACTATTTGGCTGCGTAAATGGCAGTGAGAGACGCGATTTGTAAAATTCAACTAAACATTGATGCGGATCCTCTTGATTGCTTATGTTTGAAGTATAGCGTGTTGCAATGTTCCAACAACTTCCGCTCACACCTATTGACAAAAGTTTATTTTAAGATCAACAAGATGATAATGCTAAGGTGATTTAACTTACCTGCCATATAAGTTGCAAGATCCAATAGGCCAGAATTGTAAGCTGCATGTGCATAACCTTTTTTATTTTTAAGATATAATTAGACTCATTATTAACATAGCTCGATAATTACGATCAATAAAGTTGTTTGTTTACCGGTAGTTGCTAACATTGCTCTAAATCCACCTCCACTTCCAGCAAATGCAATTGTTGGAATATCATCAATTTCCACTTCATTCATATCGACGTCAATGTATTTAGCAAATTTATCTCGAATATATTCTTTACGCTCGCGCACAAAATTTGTTTCGTCTTCACACAAATCCAATGAAATTCTATAAATATACTGACATTTAGCAAGTTTGAGAGTATCTACTATTCATTATAAGTCATGCATTTGTGCGAATTCACCTTGCGGTCGCATCCCAATCCAATTCAGGATTTAAAGTTTTATCTGCACAAAATTCCTTCACCTCCCCATTAAGTTTTCTCAAAGCAAGTGCAATTTGTTTATGATTGCTCAATGTTGTCGGAGCCGCAATAATGTCATTAAACAATTTTCCTGGATAAGCAAATATACCCTTGTACCAAGGTTCGCTTGTTGTAACTTCCGTTTCTGGTGTTGTCACCGAGGTGGCGTCAATGTCAAGACCTGTTGTCGGACTACAAATTTATAAAATTTAATCGATGGTTATGATAGTATATTGTTTTCGCCAACTTTAAACCTACCCTTCAATAGAACGAGAGCCCATTTTTTTTGCTTATGAGAAACAAGACTAAGAATTGGTTATATCGCACCGTATCAAATTCTACACTTATATATATATATATACATGTAAATTAATGTTAACATAGAAAATGTATGAAAGCCTTTTAATTCTGCAGCTTTGATGCGCTTGTAACAATAATTGAATGTCCAAGTTTGGCAATTATGTAACAAACAAATACATGATAATACACCAGTTCAGCATGTGATTAACGTTTAGAGAAAATTCTGTTACATATCGATATGCTAACGCTAGAGATTTTAAAACTAAAATTGGAATTAGCGTTAGTATAAAAATTAGATTTTTTATTGTACTAATCCTGAACAAAATCTATGTGCTGTAAAGTTTCAGCAATTAATTCAGTTTTTGCATCTTTCTTTCTATATTAATCAGTCCTAATACTATTTTAAACCCGGGAATTCCAATATGGTGAAATGTTATAAGATTTGATTCATGCATTTTGAGATAAAAGGTAAATTTAAAATGCAAAATTTTCTGATTTTATAACCACTGGGGAATTGATAAATTTAGCTCCTTTTGTTATCGTTATACAAAAATTACTTATTTAGACCACCAATACGTAACTTGATTCAAACTTGTTAATCTACAAGGTAAAAATTGTGGGTAACGACGGTAACTAATGTATTATTTTAGCTATCAATCACCGTTAACGTTAAAACAATACGCCAAGAAAAGATTATTTGGTCACAAAACTACGTACATGCATGTTTGATTAAAAAAAAAATGAAGGTTTCACAGAATACAGCATAATAATAATAAGTCAAAAATGAAAATACGCATTAGTATTATTTATTCCAATCTTTGACGATTCAATTCTTTAGTAAGATTTTTCCCGTAAAAATTATCACCGCTTGTAGGTAATTGGAGTTTCAATTGCTTTTGCTTTTTGTGTACTTTTCGATTTAAGCGGAATTTGCGATGAAAAAAATTGTTGTTTTTGTTCATTAATCATTAGTTTATCTAATGATTCTTATATAAGCTCTTTGCTTATTCTTGAAATTTATTTGAAAATATATTTACTTGTTTTTGAAATAAATAGCTTTCCTTTAAATGCTATACATGTTTACAGATATAAATTCAAATGCATTAAGTCATGTATGTGCAAATTTTTTAATTACATTATGATGCGATTCAACGACAATGCTATTATCAATAAAGAGGCCTGAATAGAAAGAAATATTGAATAAGCTACCCCATTTCAAAATCGGGTGCAAAAGTATATGTCAATGTAAACTTAATTTATCCCCAAAACAAGATACTCTTCTTTTCAAACCGAAACTTTTTGCAAAAAAAATAGTTCCATAGCAATGTGATAATTAATCCAAAAGTTTATCTTTATTTCCTAATACGTATATGTCAATAAATCCAAAAACAGAATCATAATTCATAAAATTCAGTATTTAGATGTACACTTATTCAATTACTCATTTACCTGGAGACTTCTCAATAATAAAAGCGTTCATTTAACTGAAAGTTCAATAATACAGAGATTCTCTTTGAACTTTACTGTGCATGCTAGAGTCTTTGCATTCTTTGAATAAAATTTTAACTCTGCCGTATACGAAACCAATCTAAATAAATGAGCTGAACTCAAATAGAGACGAAATTACATTAGAATTTATAACTTGCATCGTTTTTATTGCACCCAACCCCCCTATAGTTCTCAGCTCTTGTAAAAATTCTTGCAAATGAAAACATTGGAGTGTTTAGAAATGGTATTGCTCTAAAATCTCCTTAAAGAATTGTTTTCTAATTGTAACTATACCTTAAAAAATAAAAAAAAATTATTTGTTAAGATTCTATAAAAAAAGCAGAAATTTAGCTGGTCTAGAGAAATACATATTTTATTATTACACAAATTACACAATGAACAAATAGAAAAGTCAATTATAGAGTGCGAAAGAAAATAAAGTTATGTATAGAATCTCAACGAAAGTATATTTTCATTCGAAATACTATGTAATTGCAGGTTATATAGAAAGCAAATACAAAAATTTAATTCAAAGTATTATAATTTGAGTTTTCTTGATAACATTTGTGGATTATTAAAAAAGTTATCATTGCAAAATTTAAAAACAAATTTATAGATGATTTGCATCATAAAAAAATACAGTGTTTTAAAATGCCACGAAAGAGTTTACACTTCTAGATGACTATCAAAATAAATTTTTTGATTATAACCGAGTCTTCTGTACGTCACGGCGTCATCGTTTTAGTTTACTATAATGTTGCATGGGGAACCATTAAAGAGCAATTACGAATCTTTTTGACTATAGGGTTGGGAGAGTATCTAGTATAATTTTAATAACTGGTTCCTGTGCCGATATCTATGGATATCGTTGAATAAAGTAAATGTGTGGGCGAAGAGTAGAGTAAGTAGCTTGGATCTGTATATACATGTAGTAACTACATCAAATGCTTGCGTCACAGCTGAATTTTCAAATGATGAAAATCACGTGGTATTTGATAATAAAAATTCTTAATTAACTTGTGTCTTATATTATAACAATAATGGCCTTTTGATTTTTGTTTTGACTGGTCCTATATTTTTGTTTGACTAGTTTTATATTATTTTCTTTATTGTTAATTTTGCACTTAACTAGTTCTTGTAATATTTTCATTCATAAAATGATTCAATAAATTCTTAAATATTGTAAGTTTTTATATTTTATCATTAATTCATCATTTTTTTATTTTAAAATTTATTTATTATGCAAGTATTAGAAATAATATCAAATAAAATAAATAGATTATATATTAATTATCAAGAAATACTGGAATGATAATAAGTCAAGGTTAATAAGAAAATATTAAATATCAAATTTGATTATAATAAATAATACTTTAATATATATAATAAAAATGAATTTTTAAATAATAATTAATTTATAGACAAGTTAAAATAGCTAAAATTAAATATGTTTGAGATTTATTAAGAGTTATAAGTAACAGATAAATGAATAAAAAAGAAATAAAATTCATCTTATTCTAATTTTACTTATTAATCTTGAAAAATAAGAAAATACTTCAAAAAATATAGCTTTAAATATTAATAAAATTACAAAAGATTATTAATAATTAATTTTGATAATATAATAAATTAATAATAATATTAATAAATCTTTTTATAATAAATTGATAAACTTTTATATAAAATAATAATAATAATAATAATAATAATAATTCCTATTGATCTCTTGATCAGGTAAAGTTCAAGTTGCCCAAGGCAAAAATCTTCATATACTCCTTTATTAATGATCATAAGTTTCTATAGTCATCTATTACAAAATAACTAGCTTTTAAAAAAAACTTATAGATTTTTAACTTTTTGCTTTATTCTCTCTTAAAATTTTTATAATATTCTTGCTTAAAATAAAAATTACAAACCTTTCAAAAAATAAAAATAAAAAATTCTTAAAATACATAAAAAATTCTCTTTTCTCTTTCCTTTTCAATTTCTTTCTACTATACACATTACTTGCTTATATCTATATCATGTCTAATAATACAAAAATAATTACAAATAATCTTTCCAAAATATCTTTCACTCCTATCTCTTCTTTAAACTATATTAAAAATACTTTAGACCTATAATCTCCTTCATCAGCAAATAAGCCAGCATCTACTCCTCTTATTCTAATAACTAATAAACTTTCAGACATAATTTCCAAAAAAATAACCATCAGCTCACACAAAAATCTATATGATTAACCATCTCCTGCATGTAACTCATATGTTAAGTAAGCTAAACAAAAAAAATTTATATCTATTACAATCAATAAAATAAATCTCTCTTATTCAGTAAAAGAGTAAACACTATCATACACTAATTTAAATAAGAATAATTACCAATTTTACATGAAAATTGAATTATCTGATCAGAAATATGCTGAAGATAAAGATATACTATTATATAATAATTACAGAAATAATAAAGACATATCTTTAACTACTGATTCATAGAATAATTAATAGAAGATCATCTCCAGCACAAAAAAATTTCATGGCTAGATTGCAGAAATAAATCTGTCTAATTAATTAATCAAAGAAAATATTAACTTTATTAATAACTTATTCTATAAATTTCATAGATTTCTCAAAATAAAATCAATAATCAGTAACAAAAAAAATATATTTGTGCAGAATTCTCATTAGCAAAATTCTTAGATAAGACTATATACATTCCTCTCAATAATTCATTCCTATCAACTATACACTCATCCTCTTTTACTAATATTAATACCAATATTATAATTGTAATCAGAGATATATCTCTTGATATCTCAATTAAACAAATTTATATTACTATATCTTAATTTAGAGAAATTCTAGATATCAAGCAAAAAATTATCAGCAAATAGATTTATATAATAGTTCAATTTATAACTATAAAATAAGCAAAATATGTAACAGAAAAGTGATCAGTTCTCCTAGAAATAGATAAGATATAGCTGCTATTTCTTCTAAATCAACATAAAATCATTCAACAACAAGATACATACTTAGTTAAACTTGTTAATTTGTCTTATAATACTATAGTCTTTAAGTTAGAAGATATCCTACAAAAAATTAACGTAAAGATTTGTTTTATTTTCTAATCTCCTGTGAAATATAACTGCCAAAGAGTTATCATTCTTAGCTTTAAGTTCAAAACTGACTTAGTCTCTATTATAACTAAAAAATTTTAATTACGTAACTTGTAACTCTATTAAGAATAAGTTAATACAAAAATTTGTAACATATATTTCTCTCAAAATCATATCACCAAATAGTACATAGCAAATAATAAAAAAGTTATCATCTATAATTAACTTAATAAACTATATAAGAATCACCATCTCTTATATCATAAGTCAATTATATTCTCACTTATACTAAACTTCAAAAAAGTATTATTTACTAAAATAGATACTAGCTATTATTCTAAAAATAAATTTTACACAAGCAAATCATCTGAAACATCT